ATTTTAGCAAAGCAACTAATGCTAATAAGTGACTGGTTACTTTTTCCACATTGACCCATTACTGTCCATCCTAACACAGTCTGAACAGCAACCAGAGATTGATCTAGCTGTTTAATTTTACCTGTGAGAAGTTGGCCCAAGATATCAGCTCCTAGTAGTAACTGTATTTCTTCTGCTGCATCTTGTCCAATATCTGAAAGGTATATATTCTTCTTCTTTAAAATAGGAAAATACCTTTTTGTATCTAATCTGGGTATGTAATAGCAAATCTTGTCTTGATCAAGCACATTAACTGAAATGCCAAATTTACCCTTTGTGTCACGTAACTCTACTTGGTAAAGATTATGTGGAGTCTCTTTAGTTTTAATACCTCCAAACAAACCATGAACTATTAATTCCTCACCAGATTCTATTAATTTAAGTTTCTCTACACAGTCCTTAGAGATATAAGACCTTTGAGATCCAGAATCCAACAATGCTCTTACTAGTAAAGATTGCTGGTCAGGTCCTATTACTTTTACTAGAAGAGTTTCTAATAAGGTTTCTTTATTCTGATTTGCAATCAAGGACTCAGATTTGTCATTAATTTGAACACTTTCAATGACATTTGATTTGTCATAATCATGAGTATTACTGTGCATCATTTTCTCTAAACTAGGACACATTAAGCAGTAGTGTTTCTTTTTACAGATAGCACAGGATACAAACACTTTACATCTATTACTGGTGTGACCTAACTTTAAACATGAGAAACAAGCTCCCTTTTTAGTCACAAACTCTCTCTTTTCTTTCAAAGTGAGCTTTTGTAACCCAGAACAGTCTTGAGTGTTGTGATTTCCTTTATTACAAAATAAGCATGTAGGCTTACTCACCACTGAAGAGCTGTCTGTAGCAATTATTGTAGATGCTGTAGGTAAAGGTAGTCCTTTCTCAAACTCACTTTTCATACCAGGACGTTGGTGACGGTAAGATCTCCTCTGTGGTTGGGTGTCACTTGGTGTAGTGTCTCTGTCCACTGCAAAACTTTTCCGAGCAAGAGCTAAACGTTCTTCGCTTTCGACCTCGGAACGTACAAAATTCAACAATAGCTGTAAATAATTTGAATTAGATGACTCGTTACCTTTAAATTCACCTAAGCCTATTTTATTTGTTGTTCTGTACCGCTCCCATGCTCTGAGAGTATCAGTTGGTAGAGCAGATTCAACCAGTGGGTATAGCATGGCAGCATACTTATCTGATGTGACCCCGAGTGTTTCTAGGGCACGCAGTTGAGTCTCAAGTTTATCAGAAAGGGTTGAAAGTGGGATGATACTTTGTTTGTTGGCTTGTTTCAAAACTAAATTTAGTAATTCTCTTACATAAACTTCAATCAAAAGTTCATCGCGTGCAAACCTGGATTTCAATTGTTCAATAGCCTTGATGTAATTTTTACCAGAAGGAGGAAAAGAATCTACTAATTCCCTAGCTGATGAACCAGGTTTCAAGGATTGAATTAAATATTGAAATTTGTCTTCAGGTTTAATTTCACTATCTTCATGAATCTTTTTGTACTGACCCCAAAACCCAATCCAATTCCTAACATCCCCATCAAATGAAGGTAATTGCAATTTAGGCAAATGAAAGTTACGGTTTGGTCTGTAAATGTTTGACTCACCATTGTTGGTAGGTGTTTTAAGAAACATTTCATACTTAGCCTTCATCAGGTACCATTTCTTCTTGTATTCTTCTTGTGTGTCCAGTTCATTGTCCAGATCAGTATCGGAAGCATCTTTCATCAGCATTTCATCAGAGATTTTTCCATCCATTGCCATTAATGCAGTTATTTTGTCTTCAATTTGAGAAAAGTTTACTTTTATTTGAGTTTCTTTATCATTCATTGACAGGTCTTCATTATTAAATGCTTCTTCCATTTCATTATACACTTTGGTGAATAGCCTTCTAATCTGTGATCTTTTCTTTTTCATATTTTCTAGGCCTTCCATATTGGTATAAACTATTAAATAACCCAGATGTCTTCAATTAAAGAAAAGATCCTGTCACGGTCGCCAAAATGTTTTGAATCTTGAAATAATTACCAGAAATTATAAAATAATTATTTCACAAACAGATTAGTAGGCTTCTTTATTTATTCCAAAGTCTTAACTGAATCTTCAAACAATTAAATAAATTCAATACAAAATATATAACATGTGGTAAAACAAAACACAGTAGTTTAGACAAATATAACAGTCAGATCAAAAGGAAAATCAATGAAATGAAAACATATTCAATAGAGTTCACAACAAAAATATTATTAGCCTATTTCTTCTTTATTAACAAATAAATTCTAACTTAATGAAACTTTTAATACAAAGGTAGCCTAAGGTTAACTTTAAGTTGAGGTTATGTAACACTTTTTTTACATTTTTCTACCTAACTTTAGGAAAAAAAGTTATTGGGTACCTAACGTATGTGAACTTGAGGGTGTTTATGAAACGTAAAATTATGGTTTTCTTTGATTTGTTGTACCTTGCAAATTGTGCTAGGGGCCTACTTATATTTAAGTATAAATACAAGACAATTACATAAATATACTTTAATCCACTCCAAATTAGTTTATTTCATGTGACCGCCTACTTTAAAATTGGATTCATAATAAATGCTCTGACTATAGGCCTAACTAAGTTCCTAAAAAATTGAAACCTACATTAACCTGTCCGTTAATGTTACCGAACAGGTGCAACCGCACAGAGGTTTACTGTAATTTCCATTTCATGATTTTTTTCTAACTAAAGAATGGTCTCTTAAATTTTTAGATTTTTATACCTTCTAGGTTCACAGACCTTTCACATTGTAAGTAAGGGCACACAAATCTGACTTCCATGTGTGTAACCTAGACGTTATCACATTTAAACACATATACTTGTAAAATGACAGAGGGTAGTGTTAAAACAATCACATGTTTTTATAGAGTAAACATTCTTTAATGCCATACACCAGTTCATAGTTAAACTTAACTATTGTTTCATGAAATATTTTTGTTTATATGTCGGCCGCTGTAACATGTACGTTACTTTGGAATGGCCAAAAATATGTTATTGAAAATAGTTTCACTCGAATGCGTTGTTTACAACTCAATTAGGCCTAGGTCTTAACAATAAGGATCTACTGACCATTACTGAATTGATACCATTTCTTTTTATTGGTGATTCTTTATATAATTTCTTTTTATCTGCATGCACTTTTTCATAGATAACTTATTTAGCTATATTTTATAATTATGTAGTTAAAAAATTAAAGGGATGGCATCATGAAATATGTAAAAAAATTTAATCCAGCGTAGTAGACATGACTATATCAATGTGGATTATTTCTGGTAAAGAGCTCAAAAACCAATATTCAATAGCCTAGATCCAGTATTTACAGGACAGTAATAATTAAAGGGTGCAGGGAAAGAATGATCAAACTCCAAAAATTCAGAAAATGAGTGAGTTTTATAACCACGTGCAATTTACACACTGGAATAACGAACAGATTCCACGCTATGATACAAAACGTTGAGGGTATGCAGGGGAATATCGGACAAACTCCATTGCAATCAATGGAAGAACGGTCAAAGTCCGTATATACTTGTTTTTTAGGCTGCACAAAGGACCAAAAAATCACCTGACAAATATTAAAAAATTCAAATAAATACAACACATTTTAATACTTTTGTAATTTTGTTAGTATAAGTGACATTGTTTCATTAAACATGATTAGATTTATTTAACATGTTTAATTTTTACTATCCTAACGTACAGGGGAATAATTAAAACTAAAAAAGTACATTAAATATTTTTTGAATTAATACGGTATATGCATAAGAGCCCTGTTAGCGCCCATAGGCTTCAATGTGTTAGCCTGCAAAGGAGCAGGACATCTGACGGTCTGCTTAACCACTTTGCAATTGACCAAAGCGCTGGTATTTTGCTGCTCAGTGAGCAGTATCAGGACCAACGTTTTTCCCAGTGGTTCCCTGATATTTCCGGCATGGCGGCCGTGCTCATCGCGGGCAGTGGTTTTGTATGGGCTCTCCAATACTGTATTGTGAGAGGGGTGGACTCGTCGTTCAGGCACGCTTATTGTACATCCACTCTCCAATATAGCTAAGAGTTGGCCAATTGTAAATTTAGTGTAAGCTATTGTGCATACATCACAAATCCACTCTATGATTCGTAATCGCGGCACTAATGTGATCATCTCCAACGATTGTGGTGACGTTGTAATCATCTACCGCGTTTGTCCAAAACTAATGGGCTACATTGGCCCTTTACCTATAGGGGCTACATTGTAATTTTGTTGCTGGTAAACTTACGTTCTGTGGTTTCAAAATCAGACCGTAATTCACACCCAAAAATCCTAAAACTATTCAAACGTAGACATAAAAATTAAAACTGGTACCGTACTGTAATAAGAATTTTCTAATTTTTTTTTTATTAGAATTTAAAGTTTGCTTCAATTACCCGCATAACTGTAAAATATTCATGTTAACTTTAAGTTAGATATAATTTATTTAAAGCGAACACATTTTTATTGCGTTTTAATAAAATAATTATTTACTAGGCCTACCTACTGTAGGAATAATGCATTTTGAATTTTGTTTATGTGTGTGAATTAGTTTTGACTACTAGGCTAAGTGAATTGTTATTTTAATTGTAATTTGTTTTTAAAAGCTTGATTATAAATTGGAAGTCATTCAATAAATCATCATTATCAATTATGAAAATCAATTCAATCGTGTCATTTAATCTCAAGTGGATACTTTATCATGTTTGACTCATCTTATTAAGCACAGCAAAATCAGTGACTCATTCAGCTCATATTTTTATCAGTTAAGTGTTAAGTTGATAAACATAGTAGTCTGTATTTGACAAAAGTGAGTAGTGGACAGTAAGTTTGAGTTACTTACAATATATTGTTTAGTAGGCCTATCTGTATTCCTTTATTCTTGACTGAAAACTAAACTAAATTTTTTGTAGCAAAATGGCGAGAAAACAACCAGAACATCAAGGGATTCAAATGGTTTCAGTGGAGAATGTAAGTACTAAGTATTAAGTGTTAATTTTCATAAAGTACCTTCCCAAAAAAATATTTGTGAATCTATGCTGCACAAACTGGGATTTTATTATGTTACTTTGGTAGCCTATATCAAATCCAATTACCTACTTTAAACCACAAAGGAGGTGAGAAGGGTCTTGACTTGAATTATGTTATTTCTGTTTGTTAATCTGTTGAGCGAGCTGGTCTAGTAGTTAGAGTGCGGGACTTCCCCGGGTTCAAATCCCGCCAAATCATCAATGGATTTTATCGAAGTGGAAATTAAATAATTTAGTATATTGAAGCGTTGTTGTACAATTAAAGATAACATAAAAAATTCCCAATGTACATTTAAAATCCCATCTTATTCTTATGGAGAAAAAAGTAAGCTGTTGTAATTTGTTTCTTTATTGATATATTTTGATCAAATTCACCTACTCATTTCATACTATACTATTAACAATAAAAGAAAAACTTTTTCTTTTCCCTGTTGCAACAAACAAGTACTTGTTAGATATAATTTTATTTAAATGGGGAATAAATGTGACATACTGTATTTAAGGAAATACTTTTGCAAAAATCCAATCAGGCAAATGGAAATGTCCTTAGTCTACAGTTTTACTGCGGCTGGGGTATTAATTACTTTGTAGGCAATTATAATTACTGTTCAAGATGTTTTTATTCCTATCACTTTAGCCATAGACAAAAAGAATTAAATATAGACCGACAGCAGTGAGGAGTGACATGTAGTTACGGTGTACACCGCTGCAGCGTCTGCTGGTAGCATACAGCGAGGAGCTGACGACTGCAGCGAATCGAACACCGAGCACGCTCTTGCGGCATATCGCGGAACCTTCCTTTGAGAGTCTATATTTATTCTATTTGTCTATGCTTTAGCCTATAGTGGTCTCAACAATGAAGACTTATGTGTCACTTAAACGCTACTTTACTGATACTAAGTTCGACATTCAGGTTTGCCAACTTATGTTGCACTACACCTACTAAGTTGTAGTGTAATGAAACAAAACACCGCCATATTCACCAATGCTTTTTTTTGTGCTATGTAGTAAACCAAACAGAAATTGAAGTGCAAAACCTGTTGTAGTAGTACAACTATACCACAGGTACTAGCCTACAGTAGAACTCCAATTATACGAACACCAACTCTCCGAAACACCAACTATCCAAATTTTTTATTATCCGGTGCCAATTGATTTGTATATTTTTAGTTCTACTGTAGGCCTCCTATAAAATAAAGTATAAAGTAGTCTGTTAAAATCGTTTTAGTCAGTCAATAAAAAAGATGAGGCTATATTTCATCAATCTGAACCTTTCAAATTTGTATTAAAGAGTCTATTGCCCATAAGAACTACAGGATTCAAAAATAAAACAATTATATAATTTTGAAACAATAAATATCAAGACCTTAAACTATTCTCTTTTGACATATTCTAATTTCCCCCCTTTTTTACAGCACTGGCATCATATCTTCAATAGGGTAAGTAGATTGCATACTTATCTAGTGAAATCTTAGTTTCCAACAAGAAACATGACCAATTCTGCTTGTTTGGTTGTTTTGGTTCCAGTAATTACCAAGTAACACATTGTTAACAAGCTTACTAATGCATGACTCAGAAGTGTTGTTGTTATGTTATGATTTCCCAATATCGGGTCACTGCATTTACACTTAGAATACATTGAACAGTGTAGTGTAGATTTGTAAAATATTTATATTATTTACATTATGTATTGTCCATTTTACATAGGGCACCACAAATTTATGAACATTATTTATGGAAATTATATTGATTGATTACAAGAGTCTACAGCAGTTACTGGGAAATTACCAAAAATAGCTATGGTTAAAAACCATTAATTATACTCAATATTACAAAGTAACAGTTAAATAATATAATATAAAATGTTTGTATAAAGTTAAATATGTATACAGCAATAAATGCAGTTAATGAAAATTATACAAACCACTTATCTTAAGTATAGTTTTAAAAAAATAATATCTAATTCATTAACTTTAAAACTTATTCTACTTTTTGTAACCCTTGTAAATTTGGCAAGCTGGTCTAGTGGTAGAGCTCGGGCTTTGGTACCCGAGGTTTCGGCCGATCGAGGGCCGATCACCAATAGTCTTTATTTATGTGATAATGCTGCGACCCTCTAGGAGTAGCCTGAAGTAATGTGTAAAACAGTTCCAGACTAGAACTTAGCGTCCTAGGATCTGAAGTTGGGACACTAAAATAAAAAAAGTAACCATTGTAAATATGAACTTAGTTTTTCAAAATTTCCAATATGGTGGCCAACTTTAAAATGATAAATGTGTACTGTACAAATAACTGTAACTTGTATGATTTAATTTAGATTGTATACAATATTTTAGGACATAAGCGTTTTGTTCAATGCTGATGTATTGTAACTTGTACAGTACGATGTGGATGGAGATGGTCGGATCGCCTTGGCTGAATTCAAGACGATGTTGAGAAGTAACAGATTCAACCACGACATACCGGATCGAGTTGTCAAGCAGATACTCTTGAATGCCGACGCTGACAGGAATGGTTACCTTGAGTTCCATGAGTTTCTCAAGTTGGTGAGTAACAGAATCAAACTGTCCGTACATAATGTATACACAACATATTGCTGGGTAGCTAAGTGGTTATACTTGCCTGGTAATCTAAAGTTCGCTCATTCGATCCTGAGAAGATTCAAAAGCTTTTTGGTGGTTTGAAACTTGTTCCAGCTGTTTTTGATCAATGGGGCTTTAAATAAATGGCCCAGGCTATAGAACAAACTGATTTTAGTCAGTATCAAAGCTGTCCTTTCATTCATTCCACACTCACTCACTTATCTTTGCTTTAAAATACACACTTTGGCATTCTTGTATCAATGTGATCTGATAAAAACTATGAATTTAAATAAATAAATAGTGACAGTGGGTTCGGATCCTGATACCTGCCACTCATTTTATCGGTACAGTTCACCTTTGAACCATACCGGCTCACGGTATGCTTTGCTGGATAGGCTATGTTCCATGCACAGGCTTCTGTGGACCATGTGCAAATGCAAGGTTAAAAGAGGTTAAAGTTGATATCCAAAATATCTGGTTTAGAAAATCAGATGATTGTTTGAAAAGTAATTCACATGTTCAGTGTGTGTGACAAAATTTGATCTACACATTTAATGTTACAGATTTGTTTGTTTTAACTTTAAATTAAATGTTCCGTCACATGTGCCAGACTAAATTACTAAAGAACAAGGTGAACACGTTCAGTGCTGACTACATCAATTGATGTAGTCGCGCGACGAGCGCTCCAACCACCCTACATCAATTGATGTAGTTGCGCAATCCCCACTACAATAGTTCAGTATGAGCTCAGCCATTGCCGGGGAACGTTAAAACCGTTGCTAGCCTGTAGCTTAGAATGTGAGCTTTATTTTTGTGTAGGTTGGTACTAAAATTTCCCGTAAAATCCCGCCTGACAATGCTTTTGTCCTGGTTTTGGGGATTTTCTCTCTTCAAGCCATATTACAAAGCCATTGACTACTGATCCAGGCAGTGCAGCTACCTTTGGGTGTTTTACGTCCAATCTCGGGGTAACGTAGTACAATCATCGCTGCTCTTTTGTTATTCGTTAGATTGAAATATTTGAATGCCAATTGCGTTCGCTGTTACGGTGCCGCGCCGGGGCTTTGCCCGGGCCTCGCCGCCATTGGCGAGCGCCTGTTGGAATGCCTGCTGCACTGAATGTGTTAACATGGTTATTAAAAACTAAGCATACTTTCAGCCTTTATAATAGGACCAAACTCAAGTTTTGTTCTTGTTATCCAATAATACTTAAGACACCACTAATAAATAATACATGATACTAATAAATAGACAAGCAGACTATCTTACTCCTGGGAAAGCTGACGATTTTATATAATAAACTAAATTGGGATTGTCTCCTATTGTATATCGTCATACGAAACTACATGTTGTTTTATATGTTTTAAGGTGGAGAGCGATGAGGGAAGGCACCTGTTCAATCATTACATGAACTCTTACGTCCGTTCAGTGATTCCTCGAAGGACTTGGACTAGAGATGATATCATCGATGGAGAATATGAAGACCAATATACTTGCAGACCCCCTGCTATAGGCATGCTCTTGATTAGTTTAATAGAGGTACGTATTTTGGGGAAGTATTTTTCCTACAATGTGTTCTCTGTTGTTATTGGTTTGAATTTTGATTCAGATTTAAGTTCAAGCAGATATGTTGGTATTCACTCAATCATTAAAACTTTAAAAACTTAAATGAGCCGTGGATTTTTATACTGCTATCAATAAAAGGTTAAATTACCTATGTACGACTCTCGAGAGTCGAGACTCGACACACGACCGACGCGCGTCTACATGTCAACATGTACTTTTACTAACTAAAATAAAAGTAGGCCTACCGTGTATTTGTATGTTTTATTCGTAATGTATATAAGTGTAAAGTTTGTGTACGTCTTTCAAAACTTCAAGACGCACCCAATGGGGAAGATCAAGATCTTATATTAGGACTGATGATGGCAATTTATACTGCCGAAATGCATCTCCTGTAATAGGATACAGCACATAAGGATCGACTGGCGGACACAGGTAATTTAACCTTTTATTGTTTGTCATACCGATCCGGAACAACAACAAACAACATAAAATGAAGTACTACTCTTTGTTTCTGTGATTCACTGTAAAACTCAAATAAGGATACTTTGGAAAGTATTGATTTTAAAACATCAGTTGTCAAAATAAAAGGTCATTTGATAACATAATGTTTATTAATTATCCCCATTATCACGGTGAAATCATGAATATCTCATGTTGTCGTGGAAAAATCGTTAACATCTCCTGGGGTTGCGGCAAAATTGTGAACATCCCCTGTGATGGTGGAGAAAACGGAGAAGTCGTGAACGTCTACAAAATTTTAGAGACCTACAGACTGAAGAACTGTATTGTTTATGATGTGTTATAAACAATGTCTGTACAAATTTCATAGACATACTTTAAATGTATATTGTAAACCCCAATGAAAAACCTACAAGTTTTCCAAGTAATAGGCTCTGATGAGATGATGGATCACTCAGCGCCCGGCTGAAGTTAACAAACAAACTTTAAGTTCAATTTCTATGATATCACTTGTTTGCTGTCGTAATCATAAATTGTATTCTGATTCTATGATTTTCTGTTTCCTTTTCCGTTATTGACATGTTCTGTTGGTCACAGATGGGTTTGTTCCTGTACGATGTCGCCGTCACTCACACCACAGTAAGCACAGATGGCCCAGTATCTCAGCTGTTCATATACAATCCCCGTAAGCGGGCTGAAGCTTGGCGTTATATGACGTACATGTTTGTGCATATCGGGTAAGTGAATTTACTAAGCTTACATTCTTATTCTTATTCCGAATTGTACAAGGTGACTTACTGACAATTTTACTTAAAATTGTTGCGGTAAATATTGATTCATGGAAGTGTAGAGTTACTTAGGTATCGCTTTATTTGAACAGTACGTAATCCAAGACAAAATAATTTTGTGAGTTTGATGTTAATGATGTAACATATGAAAGAAGGGTTCAAGGATTCTTTTGGGGCTAGCGGGCTTAAACCTAAAAGGGCTAGAGTTCTTCACCTAGCACAATTAACACAAAAAATTACACTTCACCAAGAAATAAGAATATTTCACTGTCACTTTGTTGTAAGAGGCAATGAAATAGTCTAATTAATTGTTGTGTTTAGTTTAAAATCTTTGTGTATATTGTGCAAATATGAAGTCTTTTTACATCGAGATAACAAGGTAAGTGTGGTATCCTATCAAAAATCCTTAACTACTAGCAAAATAGAAGATCGTTACTAACTAATGTCCTAAATTGATGCATAAATAAATTTTAAAAAATTATTTGTTTTTTTCTATCGCTAATAATCTATGATTGCTCTTTTTGGTTTAACAATTTAATAATGTACATACAATTAACTATTACCTCGACCTGATGTAAGCTACTATAAAAGATTAACTAGGGACTTTTGTTTCTTTGCCTATGTACTAAGCTACCCAGGCCTGTTTAGTTTAATTATCTTGCCAATTCCTCTTATCTAACTATATCGTTCATCCATCTTATTAATTTTATATAACCAAACTTATCACTTACCGCTAAAAGCCAGAGTTCTTCTTTCACACTAAATCGGTAAAATTATCTTTAGAAATCTGCATCATTAGAGTGTTCTATCACCAAATATTCACATCATGCCAACCAAAACCAAACAAAGTTTTACAAAATATTATGAACAATGAACTTAAAAAAAAAACCCATTGCACGTTGCAAACTGACAAATAGAATACTGACTCATTGGAGTTATCTCTCAAATAACAAGAACGTAGAACATTAAATCTAGATTGTGCATTGTGATTAGTAAGGTAGTAAAACATAAATATAGCGGTGACTGCATTTATTGCCATTTAAGCTGCCAAGATAAATGAGATTAATCAATTAATTAATTTTTATGAATTTGCTAGAAAATTGTGTAATTTATGATGCTAATAGTAAAACCTATTAACAGACACACCCAAATTATTCTATGTTTTATAAATTAGTAAGTAAAATGAATTAAATATTTTTTTTCTTCCTTATGAAATGAATTAATAATATGAAAGTAAAATCACTCATTGAAAGATTAATTGAAGAACGTTTTAGTTGCAGAATGTATATTATGAGTAAACATGTTATCTATAATACTTTTTGGCCTTAAATATGTTTCTTACAATAAAGTTCCGCAGTAATTTTACAATTTCAATTTATTAGTTACTAAATTAAATTTGAATAAAAAATATCATTAATAATTTATTATTTATTATTCAGTAAAATACTAAACTTTTTATTGTTGGAATATTTATTTGATGGCGTAACAGTTTGAATGGGTTGAAGATTTATTATTTAATTCAAGAAACATTCTGAAAATATCTTGAAACTTTGATGATCCAGGATAATGTTATCAAATCAAATCAAATCAATTTATTGTTGTAGACATTTCACAATGTTTTAACAATCGTCATAAAATACATAATGCTTATATTAATACAGCAAATGAGTACTTAGATGTAATCAATCAATATAATAAGTTCTAGTATTAAAAAATATATAAATTCAGGCACAATTAAATAGAAATATTTTGACATGTAAAAAAATCCTCCACTGTATATGGGCATTTTTGTATTAAATATGTTTTCAATTTTGTTTTGAAAGTGTTCAAGGACAACTCACGAGACTCCACTGATAAATTATTAAACAATTTAGCTGCCATGTATTGAATGTTTGTTTGAATCTTTGAGTATTTACAAAGCACTGTTTGCAAGTTGTTTTTAAATCTGGTTTCATAATTATGTCTATTTGAATTTTCTGAGAACATTTCTAAATTATGTTTTACATACAACAGAACTTGAAGAATATATATTGCAGGCAAAGTTAAAATTTTTAAATGTTTAAATATAGGTTTACAGTGAGTTCTAGAGCGTACACCACTTACAAGCCTTATCGCTCTTTTTTGCAATTTAAATAAATTTTTGGTATATGTTTCTATGTATTATGTTTCTATTTAAATAAACCTCTCTTCAAATTTTTTGGAGACTTGTGCTTTGAGTTCCTTTAAAAAGAAAATATCGAGCATTATACTGATACTCCATGTAAAACAACTATGACTTGTTTCATGCAATGTAAACAGTTTGAAGATAAATAAAGGAAAATCACAAAAATGTCTTTATTTACAATTTTTAACTCAATTCAAACTTCCTACCTTCTACAGTTCTTTTATTTATCAAAATACTTTAATGATTAAGGGAAACTTTGACATATTCTTGCTAAATCAATGTGACCACAATTGTGATACAAGATTTTAAAATTCTCTCAAACCTGCACAACATAGGCTAAACTTGTTCCATTGTCGCCATAGTATATGAGGCCTAAAATTGACAATAAACTGCCGTTAAACATAAAACAAATTAACTCTTTAGCTTGGCGTTTTATTCTTTGGAAGATTTGTTTTTTTAAATCAATAAATGTTTTCTTTTTTAAAAGCTTGTTATAATTAATTACTATTGAGTTTTTTATCCCTGTTTCAACTAATAATTGATCTTATTATTTTATGTTCTTGTAAAAAAAATTGGTTCTTTAATCCAAGAACAATTTAATAGAAATTAATATAAAATATAGGCTAATATTTAATATAAAAATTAATATAAAATAAAAGAATTTTTAATATAAAAATTAAACTAATTAACCCTAAATTTAAATCATGATACCCTATACATGCATTGGGGTACAGTATATAGTAAATCACTACTAAAATACCCCCGCCGCAGCAAACCTGCCGACTAAGCGAATTTCCATTTGTCTTAATTGATTTACAATTAAATTTCTTTTAATAACATTAGGTTTAACGAGTACCTAGGTTTGCTGCTACAAGGAAACTAATAAAGTGTGTTTTTTTGTAAAATATTGATAGCTTAGTACAAAATAAATAAATTTGATCAAAATACAAAATATTTGCCATAAACAAGCAAACTACAACATTTGACAATATTCTCCATAAGAATAACATGGGAATTTTAAATTTAAAATTTTTTAAATGTTCTCCGTTACTATTAACCGAACAAAAATACTTTTATATACTAAATTAATTGTTTTTTAAGCTCTTTAAAAAGGTCTAAAGAGAAATTGGGAAATTTTGTGTTTTGAGGGTCATAAGGGAGAAAAACCAATTTTTACCCCATAAAACCCCCCGTAAAGCCCCGTTCCCATGGTCCGATCATGCTGGTTCGCGAACTCATTCAAGTTTATCCCGCTTTACACCTTTAAACCAAATTTCATCAAAATCGGACAAAAATTACTCAAGTTATCGTGTTCACGGACGTATATATATATATATATATACAAATTTGAACGAATGGTGTTTTTGGCCTCTGGGGACATCAAAATGAAAAAGTAAATCGGTCCCGGGTCTAGGTCTTACCGTGCCACCTACGGTAATAGCTACTTTCCTATACTTGCCTATAGGAAAATTCGCTAAAACAGGGAAATTTAACCATTTTTTAAAAATCAAGACCAGGTAAAAATATATTGCATTGGGGTACGAATATATAAAATACTTACAGAAATCATGATTAATACTCAAAAACTAACTAAATTAATAAAAAAAATCATTCTATGTCAGAAATAAAGCTTTCTCCCAAAAAAATAAAAAACCAAACTAAAATTTTATACAAATAAAGAATAATTTTAATATAAAAATAAAACTAATTAACCCTAAAATTAAATCATGATACCCTATACATGCATTGGGGTACAGTATATAGAAATCACTACTAAAAACAGGGAAATTTAACAATTTAAAAAAAAATCAAGACCAGGTAAAAATATATTGCATTGGGGTACGAATATATAAAATACTTACAGAAATCATGATTAATACTAAAAAACTAACTAAATTAATAAAAAAACTCATTCTATGGCAGAAATGTTAATTTATTAACTATAATATAAAATAATAAAATAAAATATTTTATTAATTATAACAGAGAATGTTAAAATTATATTAATTAACATATTTAATACCTTATTATGCCATAGTGTTTTATTTAATAATAAATTTATTGCGGGGTAGATCATATTATCAGTACAAAACTTATATTTATTAAATATTTCAAGTACATTTAAATATTTTAATATAATATTATTTATTAATTACTATAAATAAATAATAAGAATATAATATTTAATTCTACTACAAATTGAATTTAATTTTTTTAATTCACTAGTAAATTTAATTGATTTAATGCACATGTGAATTAATAACAATAAAATAAATAGGTTTAATACAAAAAAATATATATATATAAATATTTGTTGTGTTTTCCAGTGTGTTTCATCTGGGAGTGAACATCTTGGTTCAAGTGCTACTTGGTATTCCACTGGAGATGGTTCATCGCTGGTGGAGAGTTCTCATCGTCTACTTCGCTGGAGTCATTGCCGGCTCCCTCGCTACCTCAATGTCCGACCCCTACGTGTACCTCGCCGGGGCTTCTGGGGGAGTTTACGCCCTCATCACTGCTCACATTGCCACCATTATCATGGTACAACTTACGAGTTCTCTCAGGCTTTTTAAAATCAATTTTTCATGCCAGAAATTTATGAGGGTTGTTCAGAAAGTAAGGAACGTACACATTTGCCAACTCAATGACTGTCCAGATATCACAGTAGAATTGTCATTGTGTTGCTTGCAGTAAAACATAAAGTTTATAAAGTGTGCTGCAATTTTAAACGCATCAGTTGTGAGGTGTGTCACGTCAAATCGCATTCACAATCTCCTTCAACCATTCAAACGGGAGAATTTCTCTCAACCACCCACCCTAAAGTCCAAAACTGGCTCCAAGTGACTCACTTGGTTTGTGCACCAAAATGAAAACTTGGTTAGCAGCATAGCGCTTCAATTATGACGAGGACCCAGTGGCGGTTCCTTGTCAAGGGGGGGGGGGCTACGGGAGGGCTTGGGGGTGTGGAGCACGCCCCAATGAACCAGGGGGGTCCGGCGGAAAATTTGGAATTTTCAAAGCCGTTTGGTGACTTTCTAAAGCCATTTTTAACACCTAATACCGTGCCCAATTGTCCATAAACTCTCATTTCACCTGTTGTTGTCATGAGCAAATAGACATTTAAAAAATTAAACTATGACGATTGCATTCATGAATTTAAAAACACAATTTAGACTACGGCCATAACCACCTAAAAGCCGTTGGAAGACTTTCTAAAAAAAAAAAAAAAAAAACAGTTTTAAAGTCTAGAACTGTGTGCAAAACCTCCCATTTCCCCATTTATTTGTCATGAATAAGTAGACATTTTTAAAACTAACTATGACGATTGCATTCATAACACTGAAAACATATTGAAGGCTACAACCATATCCTCCTAAAAGTGGTTTACTGACTTTCTAAAGCCGTTCAATATTAATGTCTATATCTGCGTCAAACTGTCCAAAAACGTCCCATTTCACCTGTTATTTGTCTTTGTCATGAGCAAGTAGACATTTAAAAAATCAAACTATGACAAACTTGCATTCATGAATTTCAAAACATAGGCCTACTGTAGACTACGAAGCCATATCTCCTAAAAGCCGTTTGGTGACTTTATAAAGCCATTTCTAACGGCTAGAAGTAGAACTTTGCCCAATTGTCCTAAAAACTTCTATTTTACCTGTTATATGTCATGCAAGTATAGATACGTTTTTTAAACTTGCGTTTCTCTCCATATTATAGATCTGTAACAATATATATAGTATCGAATTCAGTAATAGCATTGACATTATAAACTTTAACACTAGTGTTTATATAGTATAGTCAATGGTAAGCAGGGCCGGTTCTAGGAATTTAAGCGAACACCCGAATCAGCGCCACCTAGAATTCCCCCCCCCCCCACCCAACATGAACATAACCCTATTGGTGAAATTTTTTGGGAAGAACTTTTAGGTTAGAAGAATACTTGCAATAACAGACTTTTTTCAACTACTGTTAATTATTCATAGAAATTTAACATTTTTACACTTGTATGTACTCATCATATACACTTTAGCAAAACCCAAAGTTAATAATTTATTTCTAAACTAGCAGAGTGTGTTCTTTGTACGGGGTTGGCTTATAAGTATAAAATGCTTATTGCAGTTATACTCTAGCTTTGCGTTTGCAATGGGGGAGGGTTACAGATACAGTATAGTATTACACATCTACCATAGCCATTCTGTTCTACCCCTGCACCTGAACAATATAAAAAAGTAAATTATCAAACATGCACACAATATGACAAATTATGTATTAAATTAAAAACAAACATATTACTGTAAAAAATCCTTCTTTGACAGTTCTCATTGTGTATCACAGCTTTTTGATGCTGCTTACTTCAAATTAGCTGTTATCACAATGGAAAACTATATAATAGTGCTGCACCCTGTCGGTAAACCTTATAACTTTTTAATGCTATTGTATATCATAGAACAACTTTATTGGTCAAATTAGCTGTTCCGGGACAAAAAGTAATAAAGATTTTGAACTTTAAAACTTGGTACACAGTTACTAGGCATTAGGTTAATTTCAACACATTATTCAATTCTACGCTACCTCTTCAGTGGAACGGCCCGCCAGGAGTCAGAAGCAAATCTTAAATTAAACATAGGTTAATATGCACATCAAATTAAAGGTCTTTGTTAGTAAAATACAATGCCGCAAACCCGAACTCAAAAAGACAACCGAGTCCAAAATGACAGTTATTCAAAGATGCATTGACTTTGCAATGCTATTATAGGCCTAAATAAATAAATAAATATATCTTTATTGTCACATAAACGTTTTACAGATTACATAGCATAAGCTACAAAAACAGGTGACATTGTCAATAAACATCATAATAAGTCATATATCATAATAAGTACCTAAAATACTAAAAAATAAACAATGATTCTTAGAAATAATTATTTGGGTTATTTTAAAAAACATAATATTTGCTAATTTAAAAAATTACCATCATTCAAAAAATTCGTCAATACTATAATATATTTTGTTTACAAGAAATGAGGCAAGGCTGCTTTTAAAAGATGTTTTGTTTATTAAATCTTAATATTTTGGTTGCAGTTTATTAAACAATTTCTTTCCCATATATTTTGGTGTTTTTTCTATTTATTATTTATTATTACTATTTATTAATTTTAATCGGTGAATCGGAAACTGAAAATTCTTTTTGAAACGGGTGTTATATGGATGGTCAAAATTCTCCGCACACAAGTTTTCAAAATTTGACTGTACCATTAATAAGGATTTAAAAATGATTAAACTTGGTACAGTCATTATATTAAGTTCTTTAAATATTGGTCTACATGAATGTTTTCGTTTAGCAAATGTCATTATTCTTAAGTATTTTTTTTTTACTTTAAAAATCTTTTCTATTTCTGATGAGAATCCCAAAAATTCAATCCCATAATGCAATATTGAATAAAAATAGGCATAATATATCATTAAACATGTTTTCATATCCAAAATATTTCTCAAACAAAGCATTTGGAAACAGGCAGAATTAAGCTTATGTAATATGTTTTCAATGCACTTGGCCCAGGTTAAATTTGAATCAACATACAAACCTAAAAATTTTGTACATTTGACAGTTTTGGTTCTTGTTTTATGTGTGAAATTTCGGGATTGTATCGTATTAAATTTTACTAGTTGTGTTTTTTCTGGATTTAATTTTAGTCCGTTTATTTCAAACCACCTTCTAAGATCCATTAAAGCGTCTTCTACTTTCACCCATAAATCATCCTCCGTTTTAGTTTTAACAACAGCAGTTGTGTCATCTGCATACAGTATTAAATTATGAGAAATATTTTCAGGTAAGTCATTTATATAAATTAAGAAAAGAAGAGGACCTAAAATAGAGCCCTGTGGGACACCTACTCTAATTTCACTCCATTCAGTTTTTGACTGCAAGCCTCACCTTTTAAAATAACAGTTCTTTGAAATCTACCTGTTATATAAGATTTCAACCATAAAATAGATTTCTTAGAAAATCCATAAATTTCCAATTTTTTTTTTTCAAAAGTATGTCATAGTTGACTCAATCAAAAGCCTTAGATAAATCACAAAACACCCCCATTGTACTCTGTGACTCATCCAAGGCCCATGACACTTCATTAACAAAATGGGATATAGCGGTCATTGTGCTGCAACCCTTTCTAAAACCAAACTGTTTACTACTAAATATATTGTATGTTTCCAAGAAATTATAAATTTGTTTATAAGCAATTTTTTCAAAAATCTTGGAAAAAGAAGGTAAAAGTGATACAGGCCTATAATTGTCAGGATTATGCTTTTCACCTTTCTTAAAAAGTGGCTTGAGTTCTCCATATTTAAATTGTTTAGGAAATATGTTGTTTTGAAATGATTGGTTAATAATAATTGTGAGAGGTTCTGAAATAGAGTCTATGACTTTTTTCATGAGATCCACAGAAATTTCATCCCATCCCGCAGATTTTTTATTTTTAAGTGATTTGATTACTTTGACTACATCTTTTTGCTCAATGGCTTTAAAATCAAAATTAAATAGTTGTTTACTAGTCATTAAGTTCCTTGTCATATTTAGTGCCTCAAATTCACATGGTGATGTTCCCATTTCCTTGGTTATATTGGTAAATTTTTTATTAAAGAATTCAGCTATTTCTTTTACGTCGCTAATGGTTTTATTTGAGAGTTTAATATCAGGAAAACTATTTTTGACTTTTTTACAACCTAGCTCCGATTTAACAACACACCACGCAGCCTTGCTCACATTTTCTGATTTGTTTATGAATTTAGCATTGCACATCCTTTTAGATTGATTACAAACTTTCTTGAAAATTGTTTTATACTTTCTAACATAATCCTTAAAGAGTCTGTCGTTTGATTTGTTTGTCAGTTTACTAAGTTCTCGTTTATTTATACTAGATATTCTAATACCCTTTGTTACCCAAGACTTCTTTTGATTCTTATTTTTGTTGATGTAAAACTTTAAGGGAAAAGACTCTTCAAAAGTATTGTGAAAATGGCAAAAAAAGTTAATACAATTTTCTTCAAAACATTTTTTTACAGATACATCCCATTTTATTTCTTTAATATTATTTACAAAACTTGTGACATTGGCTTTTGAAAACATTCTTTTTTTAGTTGTTTTATCTGTTCTGTCCTTACTATTCTCAAATGAGCTATCAAAAATGTTTATAAACAAAGCCCTATGATCTGAAAGACCCAATTCTAAATTCATTGTCTGGACTGAATATTGTGAATTTATTTTTCTAGTTAAGATATTAACTACGCCTACGCAACCTTCTCTTGGCCGCCCGCTAGAAGTCGAAAGAAAATTATAAGCTTATGCATAGGTCGATATGCATATCAAATTAAAGGTATTTATTAGTAGAATACAATGCCGCAAATTGAGCTCAAAAGAACAACTGACAACTGAGTAAAACATGGCAGCCGTTCAAAAATAAAAATGGCAGATTCAAGAAAACTTTGAACTGCTGCCATCTTTGACTCGATTTTTCGTTTGTGTTCAAATCTGCGCCATTGTATTCTAATAGTAAAGGCCTTTAATTTGATGTGCATATCAACCTATGCTTACGTTTAAAATTTTCTTCTAACTCCTAGCGGGCCGTCCCCCCTCAGGAGGTAGTGCATCACTGAAAATTTGTGAATCAAATTATGTTGATGCCCAGTAACTGTGTGCCAAGTTTTAAAGCTCTATCTTTGTTCCTTTTTGAAATATTTAACTGTATATTTAACAGATGGTTAACAGTAGGTACCGTAAAAAGGCTGGGAAAATATTCTAAGAGATTTGCATAAATTATAAAATAATCAAATTAGATGAATTTTAAACATGATAAAGGATATGTTAATGGTTTTACCATTAGAAGCACAGAAAGGTACCTATCATAAAACCCATATTAATTAATTTATAACAAATGATAATTGTGTAGGCTAAATCACTTTTTCCCCAATTTTCATAACACATGTTCAGTCAGTTTTTCTTGTTTTTTTTTTAGAATTGGTCTGAAATGCAGTTTGCAGTTTGGCAACTCCTAGTATTCCTCTTCTTGACTATTGTAGATTTAGGATCGTCCATTCATGCTCGTTACATTGCGAATGAAGATAATAAGGTAAGGATAAACATTTATATTCTTCTATATTCTACTACACAATTTTTCTAATTGAAACCTTTCATTCATGTTTAGTAATTGTTTAAATCTAGACTTTGGCTACCAACATAGAAAAGACAAATTATTGAAAAATAATATGCTAGATATACAGGGAGCGGCAGAAATATCTGACGGTTTTCAAGCGAGTACAGTCCGGCAGCCGAGTGGAGGGGGTTGGTGGGGAGCGGCTCATTCTCAAGGCCAAGTGACCCCATTTCAGTCGCTATGGAGCAGTGGACCAGTATACATCGCGCGTTTGCCGTTGAGGCGTTTTTAAAAAATGGCGATTCTATTGTTGGTACGCAACGTAAGTTTCGTAGGCATTTTAATGTGGCTCGTGGGGAACCTATCCCATCCCGAAACGCCATCAAATTGTGGGTGGATACCTTAAGATCACAGGATCAACTGCAAAACGTAGGCCTACAGCCGTCCAAGGCCAGTGAGGACGCCGGAGAACGTGGAGCGACTGAGCGAGTGCGACAAGCTGTGCTAACGAGCCCGCATCGCCCGGCGCGTAGACAAGCTGCTGCTCCTGGCATATCTGATCGCTCTATTCGACGAATTTTGCACTCAGACCTTCACTTTCACCCATATAAAATAGCAATCGTCCAAAAACTTCAGCAAAATTCGTCGAATAGAGCGATCAGACATGCCAAGAGCAGCAGCTAGTCTACGCGATGCGAGCTCGTTAGCACAGCTTGTCGCACTCGCTCCACGTTCTCCGGCGTCCTCACTGGCCTGTAGGCCTACGTTTTGCAGTTGATCCTGTGATCTTAAGGTATCCACCCACAATTTGATGGTGTTTTGGGATGGGATAGGTTCCCCACGAGCCACATTAAAATGCCTACGAAACTTACGTTGCGTACCAACAACAGAATCGCCATTTTTAAAAAACGCCTCAACGGCAAACGCGTGATGTATACCGGTCCACTGCTCTATGGCGACTGAAATGGGGTCACTTGGCCTTGAGAATGAGCCGCTCCCCACCACCCCCCTCCACTCGGCTGCCGGACTGTACTCGCTTGAAAACCGTCAGATATTTCTGCCGCTCCCTGTAGAACCAAACCTTAAACATAGAAAATGTTTGTTTTTTAAAGACCTTTTTAATGAATACTACAAAATCTATGTTTTATATGTATATGAGTTTATACACTTTTTTATTTTTTTTAAATTAGTTAATGTTGGCTTAGTGGTACATTCTAGGGTATTTTTGGAAAAGCCATTTCATTGATCTGAGATAAAAATTGTGATCCCTTATGTAGGCGGTTGCAATAAAATCAACTGTAAGACCCTGAATTTTAGACAGGTTTTAACACCCTGTACAAGAGCATCAAGATCAATTTAAATTTTATAAAATTACTCAGTGAACAAATACCTTTAAACTGAGGAATCACTTAACCTACCTTTACATTTGAAAATTTTCCAAAAACTACTCCCTCCGGCCCCCCCAAAATTCCCTTTCAGTGCGTTTGGGATATTTCAAAATAATTTCCCCAAATTCTACGGGGTGAAAATAGGGGGGTTTAAGTTGTCACAGACAATCCACCTTGATTGGTTTAGCTGCTGTACATTGTGTACAGGTGGTCTGCCTCACCCTGTATAAGCTTATACATTTTTTCCATGATGATGACGATATCTATCACAATATTTAATTGTTGAAAGACAGAATAAGTTACGATTCACGTTGGTTTTCCAGGTTGGATATGTCGCTCACTTAGGAGGAGCTGCCGCAGGTCTCCTCGTTGGTCTATACGTTCTGCGCAACCTCGAGGTTCAGTCTTGGGAACGTGTAGTGTATAGGATCAGCATGGCCGTGTTTTTGGTCTTTGTTGCTTCCGCAATCGTCTGGAACGTCGCCTATCCTAACTACTTTCCTCCTCAAGATGTAAATATTTCCTTCCAGAAAAACTAAAAGAAAACATGTGCAAAGGATTGGCTGGATAAATCCTGTCTACTTTTAGATAATTTTAGACTTTTCTTGTTGAACACTAGTGCTTTTTTAAGAAACTCTAATGGCTATAAGGAATGTACAATTGTTACTATAATTTGTAGCAAAAGAAAACGTATAAGGTGCAAAATTTGGATTGACTGGATCAATCTTAGCCTATCTATTTTTTTAGATAGTCATAGACTTATCATGTTGAAAACTAGTGTTTTTGGAAAAACTTTGTGATGGTTACTAAGAATGTAAAATATTTACAATTGATTTGTAGCAAAAAAAGAATAACTATAAAAACCACAGTTTTAACTCTGATGAAGGCTAACAATGTTAACAAACCAGGGATCAAATGTTTGTGGTCAGTTATCTTATAAAATGTGTATAGGTAATTTCCAGTTCCCTAATATTCTAAAACTATTTGGTACAAATGTACAAAACCTATGTAAAAGTGAAGTATTTTCAGGGAATATTTATATTTTGTACTTTCGCCCTCATTTTGTGATTGAATCACTAGTGTTTTACTTAATTTTAATTTCAAAACCAAGTTCAGGCAGAAAATATATCACAAATGAAAGGTTTTAATATTATTTTGTAGATTAAAAAGTAAAAACTATAAATTATGTAACTATCTAAATGAGTATGAATGAATATATTACCGGTATGCTTTGTTTTAATATTTGTTCATTATGACGTTTTTTTTATAATCATGCATTTTGAATGATCATACATCAATGTTAAATGGATATTTATTTAATTATATAAAGTTATATGCATGAAACAAATGATTGTTTTTAATTGCAATTAGTTTGCTATATTATTGCTCAGCTTAAGTTCAAAGTTCTTAAGTTCTCATAATAGTTCATTTGAAAGCTATTTTATATCATATAACCACTGTTTATTTTTATATACTGTTTTATTGATGTTACCAAAGTTTGTACTTACTGAAACCATCAGTTGAGTTCTATAATTCCATCCTGTAGATCAAACTATATTAACTAGAATGTTTTGGTGCCTAGTAATAACCGTTTTAGTTACAAATCTGTATACAGTATTAAGAATGATTCAGGTAATATTAGTACGTTTATTAACGTTTAAAAAACATTTTCTGTTACCTTCATAGGTAGTTGATATTGTGTATTAGTACTTGATAATAATTCAATTTTAATCTGTATCACTGATTCTATAAGTATTATGGGAATGTTAAGCTAAACCTATGGGTTCCTACCTAGTTTTCTGAAATGCCAGTTTTATATTTAGTAAATTATTTATTTTACTGCAGTATTATATTTTTCATTAGTTATAAATTAATTTATTATATTATTGTAGCTCTATTTCCAGGGGGAAAACTGTGTTATTTCAAGCTTATTAAATTGATTTGATTTGATTATTGGTAAAATCAAAACAACGTTTACATGTTTTGTTTTGAGAATATTGTTTTATTTAGAAAAATTAGGTTTTGTTAACAAAAACACTGTGAAACTGGCAGGCTATTCTATTTTATGTATTGTTTTACTTGAATTAATACAAACTTCTCAGTTAAAAGGCTTCACTGTGGAATTCAATTAATTCTTACTAAAGGATTTCAATTTAATTTTTATATTTATACAGTTCTGTTTTTTTACCTATTTATAAACGGCTCTAAGTTTCTTGACCCAAAGACTGAGGGCTCATTATTTTCTTTTGAGAAAATGTTTACATTTTAAAAGTAATAGTTACTTAATTTATGACTTTAGTTTCATATCTGAAGTTATTATAGTTTTGTTATCGTGAAACATAAAACTGTCTAATTTTATATAAAAAATGTGCCTTGATGTTGTGATCTGTTTTGTATAGCTTAATTGAATTTTTATATTCACATGTCAATCTTTAGCATAAAGCGGATATTTGCTTATATATCTCTATTTTGCTAAAGTTTATTTGTGTGACTTATTATTTTTCTATGGTTGAGGGTTTAAAATGTATTGTAAGTTTCTTATCTTCTAAATTACATGTGATAGTTTACATTTCCAGTTATTTGAAATGTAATGTAAATCTACAACGAGAAACAGATCAAAGAACAATGCTTAGCAGAGATCAAAATGTTGAACTGCACACACAAAATGGCTAGCACAAGCAAGTTCCTGGCTGTCATAAAGCCCTATGTTTTCATTGTACAAATCCATATATTTATTCGAAACACAAAAACAAGGTCCGTATAGAATCCAAAACATATTTTTTAAGAAATTTTCATTTTTATTAGAATATTACTAAAAAGGTATTACAGCGTAATTTTTACCAATTTTGGCAATCTTGTATGTTGGATTTCTTTTACTGACCTTGTTTTTAGGTTTGTCACGATTTACAAGTATCACCGCGTTCTTTCATATTGCCTTATGTATGTTGTATTGATAGATGTTTTTATTTTTACATGTTTGCAATTCATATCAATAAAAATACTTGTAAAATATTTGTTTGAATTCATCATTCCTAATAACATTTACAGTAGTGTTGGCTAAGGCTAAGATAATGTCTAACTGGGTATTGTGTTTTTAACAAGGAAAACAAAAACAACTGAATACTAGACCTTTTATGCAAATTCTACTTGTCCCAAGCAGGTTCTTGATTACAGTAATAATTTTGAGACTTAGATCCAAAACATGGATATTTTTGCTTAAATTTTTGATGATATAAACATTTTGGCTGGGCTGAGAATTTAAAGGTTTTTTTTCACCACAAAAAATACAAAATAACCAGTACGAGCACAATTTAGAATACTTAAAATTGGCTACAAAAATCAAACAAAAGGCAACAATTTGCGGCATGTGGTAAACAACGAGATGTATTGAGCATACAGTAATTAATTTCCTTAAATAATATACAGTAAAACCTTTTCTAACTCCAATCTTTGACTATTGATACAACTAGACACTCTATCCCGAAGTTAATCAAAATCTTTGTAGCAGATATGAGTCACCGACAGATTTTGCTGAACTAAATAACTATTTTTTGTCCAATATACAAACTTTCTTCAAATGACTTATTGTGAGCTATAGCAATTGTTATGACCCATAAACTTGGTCAGCTACAAAAATAAGGAATAAAATAGAATTTTAGACATTAGCACATTCTGTGACTGGCTCATACAACTATGTTCTTTTTTAATAAACAATTGGCGACAGCTGGTCCATATAGATGAGATGTCTACTACAGTATCCATTCGGCAATGCCACAATCCATTTCATTGGAATCCGGGTTAACTTGGCACGGATTTTGTGTCATAAAGATAAAATTCAGATATACAAACTGTCTATTGTTTATAAATAAAATTTGGGCATACAGTTGTAAATTTTAAGATGGCAGTAACTGAAACAACACAAAAACTACTTTTGTATTTCTCTTTGAAACGAAATAGCCTTTAAAAGTTTAAATTATAATCATTGATTGGCCATAAAAATAGGTCATCTAAAAAATCCTAGCTCCCTTTTTCCCGTTAACCAGGGTTTTATCGTATTAGGATTATTTAAAGCCAAATACACCTGACACCTGACAAAGTTTATCCTTAAAACAAGAAAGTATTCTGCAAGCAGGATTACTGACATGGACCGAACATATTTTTTGGAATTTTACTAAAATCAACAGTGTCTGTTATTTTATTTAGAATATCTTTACTTATAAGTACAGTGTACAACATTTGAGCAGTATCTTTAATTTTACTTAATCATTAAATCACATAATTAGAGAATTCAAGCCACTCACGCTTGAATAGATAGATCCGGATCTATCTTCAGCTTATGTTGTGTAGCTTAACATAGATTCAACAAAGTTAGCAAAATTTATTACAACTTCTTACCGAAAGTAACTATTTTCGATAACAGCTGATATGAATGAAAGTAGATGTTTCCCAAGCTCTCATTTAGAGCGAGGGAAAAACGATCAGCTGATTTTCCCTCGCTCTCAATTCTGCATCTATCCACCATGTGTGCTAGTGTTTTCTTAGGTTTGTTTTAATGATTTAAATCAGCTGTTTTTATTGTTGCACAATCTAAATCCATACAGAAACGGGCATTAATTTGTTTTGCTGTGTTTTTAGCATAGTCCATGTTTAAAATTGCTCAAAGTATGTCTAACATAACTGATACACTAGTTTGATTTAAACAACTTCAGAGGTAACTCACCTTCCACCAGATAAATCATGGGAATAAGAAGCGGAATACAGAAAGCTTAGAAACTGTTACAAACTACAATACAAAATGTTAAGTAAATTAAAGTAAGTGACAAAGAATTTATTAATATATTTATATTATTCATTCTGATAGCCTCTGGACTACGAATAATGACTTTATAAAGTTAATGTATTTATCCAAAAAATCTACAATTATGAAACCATATGTACGCTGTGAAGTGTATTTTCAATGATAAAGAGTGGTCTTAAACTATTTTAATACTACTGAGAATTTTATTCTGTATGTGTGTATTTTTGCGTCGTGATAAAAAGTATCGTTCATAACTCGTACCGAGAGCTATTTTCTGACACTTGCTCCAATATTCCCGTCCTCGGCTTCGCCTCGTACGTGAAAATAACTCTCACATGCTCGACTTTGCCTGGCACATGAAATTTGGTTTTCGTGTGTTCAGCTTTGCCTCACACATGAAACTTGAGCGTGCATCGGAAAATGCCACTTTCGGTCCTTGTAATAAAATATACTATTTTATAAACCAAAATGTTTTAGGAATTGTTCACCAGCATTCATAAAATTTCAATCTGAGACTGTTTCACAACAACAGATTCCCACTCCTCACTTCATATCAATGGACAGGTAGATTGGATACAATGGCACAGGTTTAATTTTTACTCTCCTGAACTCCCCTCTCACCAAGGGGGGGGGGGCTTCCCATATCCCTTGCAGTGTTCTTCTTGGTAGAATATTTAGGAATCCATACAAACCCAACAAATAACCTCTAAATCTTCCCATGGCTGAAAGCATTGCGGCAACATCACTGATAACTTCCCGTGATCAGGGCAACTGTTCATCTTCTGTGGTCACAGCAATAACTGTGATGATTATCTTACAATGACGGTAACATCCATGAGAATATCCAGTGATCATGTCACCCATGATCATCTCCCGCAGTAACGGCTGTAACCAATGATCGCGGCTCAGTCCTTGGACATTTCTATGATCGCCGTGACATTAATGTTCGCTTTAACGTTGTGATCATTTCCTGTGATCATAATTTTCTTTCTTGAACACAAGGAAAAATGAGAACAAATGGCGATTATTGACAGATTTTATGGTCCGGCCCCATATAAGAGTATTCACGTACAGTTGACCCCCTCTTAACATTGGTTTAACCGGCCACACTCTGTAGAAGTGACATCTCTTTATCCGGATAATTTTTATCAGCACATCGGTTTAACCAGACTAGATCTGCAGGAAGTGGGCGGTATTTAAAACGACTGTTCTCGTGGGAAAGATTTGAGACCAGTGATTACGTGTCTAAATACAATGCTCTCCTTAATTTAAGTCAAATACTGTATACAGTATGCATTTAAACGGTCCGTTTTAACAAGTTTTTGGAGAAAGTCGGTTTAACTGGAAAACCCGTTATCCGGACTGGCCTCAGTTCCGAGGAGTTCGGATAAGAGGGAGTCTACTGTACAATTGAAGGATTTTGTCTCAGTCATTGAAATTTAAGTACAACTAATTACCGGTTTTAAGGTAGACTGGACACCCTGATACACGAACACGGATGTGTCTGCAACTGACAGCTCCAGCTTTATTCTTTAGAATGAAATAGTTATTTGTTTAACTAGTGAGCAAAGTGGCACTTTGCTGCACACGAGAGCAATGTTTACGCACAAGCCGCAGGCGAGTGCGGAATGATCTCAACTACAGCAAAGGCCTTTTGCACTCGTGTTACACATTATATTTTTCCTGCAGTCACTATAAAGCATATAAATAATTAGTCTTCCAAACATTATACAACACGTTTTTAGGTTCAGCTGGCAACACAAATAGGTGCCCTAGAGAAAGTAGTCACCGGTCCGTATCACTCCGCTATTTTTTCCTCGGCAAGCAATGTGCTCCGCGACTTGAGAAAATAGTTCTGTATGTTTTTGTAATTTGAAGTGGTTTCCGTGCCTTAAAAAAAATGCTTCAAAGGTATTTTCTTGTTTATTAAGATCGTAGGAATGTTTTAAAAACGTTTAAAATAAAAGTCCAGAAAGTTCAGAAATACCGAAACTATAAATACAAAGTGACAGGTTAAATCGTAGTTATAATAGTCAATCAGCTGCTCATAGTATTATTATCTTTAAGTGTTGCCAACATATTTCCAAGCGTACACGGATTACGTGCATATTAGAACCACGCTGTTTTGTGTTGTTTCGTTGGAATTCTGATGTGCGCCAAAGTATAAACCGTACGACAAAGTATAAATATGCAGCAATCAGCAGCTTTCTTTACTATAAACAGTACAAGGAAGCCAAAAATGTATCTTCAAACACCTTTCAGATATTTGAAACTTAACTATGTTCAAGATTTCAAAATAATTTAAACCAATTTTTACATCAAGGCTGCCCAAAATGCAGTTTGCACTCGGAAGTGTGTATAAATGTGTGTTTTAAAACTAAACGTCAGGTTTCAGTCATGCATTGCAAGGAAGACAAAAATTTGGCTTATTGCATAGAGGTACAGAAAGGGAAAAATACACCTTTTGACATTGATTAGAAATGTATTTCAATTCAATATAACACAGTAACTTAGTTCGCTTTTTTATTCAAAAGAGGTAATAAATATAAATAGAGTACAGTAAACATCTGGCTAACTACTCGAAGGCCAAAGCCTCCCACATTAACTTGTATATCAAATAATAAAATAACATCGAGTTACAAGTCACAATCCTCAACCTCAAAATAAGCGCTCCATCGATATAAGGTGGTAAATCAAACTTACATAACAAATATCTAACATTACTGCAGCTTACCAACGCATCGTGCGACCCACATACTCGTGCCAAACAATAACTTATCATAACTATTATTTTTATAAATTTTGTACTCTTAACTAAATATAATCTTAACAGTATTCTTTGTCAAACAAGTAACGTATAACTTGAAACGATCCGATAAATGGAATATAAAATATACTGAACTGACAAACACCAAACAAGCGACCAACATAGATGTTTCACAAGTCTTAGTGTAGTATCACAAAACATTTCACGCCAACTCTAAGCTACAAAATCATAAATCAACATTATTGTTACAAAGAGGTAAAAACGAAATATGTGTGATGTATACCACCATATTGCTATTCATGAATCCGACACATTGAATATTAGTTATCAACTACAACACCGGTAGTTTAAATAAAGCATTGTTCATTTCCGACCTAAGCCAATTTAATGTTTTACAATACAAGAGTGTTTTAATATTTTAAAGAAAAAAAGGGCTAAGATTTTGAT